ATTGGGACCCTGTGAAAGTCTTGATATCCTGAAATATGTGGGATTTGCCCAGCACGTTTAAACTTCCAATCAACATTTTTAGTGCTTCCCACGCTCCTGTGGAAATATCTCCAACTTGGGCTTAGAGAATTTGAATAGTTCCACGCTTACCTGGGCAATTAGTTTTTTTAATCATCCACGGGATGAGGGCATAGTTGGGCAGGCAGCATTTATTGCCCATCCCTAATTGCCCAGAGGGCAGTTAAGAGTCAACCATATTGCTGTGGGTATGGAGTCATATCTAGGCTAGACCAGGGAAGGATGGCAGTTTCCTTCCCTAAAGTCCTTTCCTAGACATTGGTGAATCGGTTGGGTTTTTCCTGACAATCAACAATGGATTCATGGTCATCATTAGACTCCTTAATTCCAAATATTTATTGAATTCAAATTCCAGCATCTGCTGTGGCAGGATTCAAACCTGGGTCCCCAGAACATTATCTGAGTCTCTGGGTTAACAGTCCAGCAATAATATCGCTAGGCCATTGCCTCCCCCTTATTACCCAAGGAACGTTAGACATCACAGAATCCCTACAGTGTGGAAACAGGCCATTCAGCCCGACTAGTGCACACCACCCCTCTGAAGAGCATCCCATCCAGACCCATGCCCATACCCCTGCATTTCCCATGTCTAACCCACCTAACCTAAGCATCCCTGGACACGATGGGCAATTTAGCATGGCCAATCCACCCATCCTACACATCTTTGGACTGTGGAAGGAAACCTGAGCACACGCAGGAAACCCACACAGACATGGGGAGAATGTGCAAACTCCACACAGACAGTTACCTGAGGGTGGAATTGAACCCAGGTCCCTGGCGCTGTGAGGCAGCAGTGCTAACCACTGAGCCACGATGCTACGCTGACATATCAAAACCATAGAACATAGAACATAGAACATAGAACATAGAACATAGAACATAGAACATAGAACATAGAACATAGAACATAGAACATAGAACA